ACACTAACGGGCGTGACAACAAAAGAGGAACATGGGATGCGAAAGAGTATTTTAGAATTTAGAGAAAGAAAATGTATCAGCTATAGTGATAAAATTAAGGTTTTCAGACATTTCACAAATATTTCAGAGGAGTTTTTGCGAGAGCGAAGCGCATTCAATGTTAGATTTCCAAAGAGCTTGGCAAACCTTCCATTGAGACAATTGACTGCTCTCTTGGTATAGGTATGCCTCTAAGCACGAAATCAGAGAAGGAAATCGCTAAAAACATTTAAGAGAAAGGGACAGGATAGACAATTTTTCCTGTAAGTTAACTTTTCCTGTTTTCTTCGTCATTGACTTGCTCAGATGTACCCCTGTACCTCCTTATTCTTCCGGGTTCCTCGCAGCGCGACGCTCGATTCTCATACGTCCGTTTGCAAAACTCCCACAGTAAGTTGCGATAATCTGGACATTTTTCGCATAAATGCGCCCATTTACGAAACATTAAAAGTGCACGGTGTCTACATTCCTTGGCCATGCTTTATTCCCTAATTTTTCTCTGCTTTTTAGGAGTGCATTCCCTGACGGGAAACCGAAGTTTTCTCCCACTTCTTCGGGATTTTCTTGGGGGTGACAACACAGTTCTCCTGAGTTCGAGGATGCTTATAGATTTTCTTCATCTTTCGGCCGATTCTTTGACGCCCATTCCAAATAGCAATTCCGAAATCATTCATAGTGTTAATATTATCTGATCAATGAGAGCTTCTGTCTTATTCTAAAAATAATTTTCAGGCAAAAGTTGTTAAAACCCTCAAACCCATTTTAGAAAGCAAATAAAGGCAATTTGACAAACTTTCCCTGACATTTTCGTCATTTTCTCTGAAATGTTCGTCATTTTACTTGACATTTCCAGTTTTCCACTAACTTTTTAAAATTCCCTGACATTTCCCTGGCTGTGGCGACCCTGTTGAACAGATTCCCGGATTTTTCCCTGAAATATTTCATTGCTTGACGAATCCCGGGTTTTCCCGGACTTAGACACCATGAACGAGAGTCTCGTTGATAATTTCAACACCTCCTATCCAATCCGACAACAGCGCGTAGCGCGAGCATGATATGCAAAAACGCGAAAGCTGCAAGCCCCCGAGAGGCCCGGGCCGGGCGGCTGGGAAGAGGCGATAATCGATTACGCGTCGATTACCTATCCCATTAGCGTGCGCTGCGCGGCGATAATCAAGTCCTCAAACGCTTCGAAACAAACCTGCATCATAAAAGAATCAAAGGGAATAAAAGCGCGGCCGTGCCCCGTGCCGCGTGTCTTCGCTCCGCGGTTCGGCGTTCGCAGTTCGCGCGTCTGCTATCGGCATCGGCTCCCCACCCGCCACCGCCACCTGTCAATCCAGTGGCGTGGCGTGAATTGCGATATATCGATTGTGGTGCCATTTAACCTATGGAAAAGGATCGATAAACAGGGCGTTTGCAGCGAACACCTTCTTAACCGATTCTTTACCATAGCTTCAAATGGGGGAAATATCGATACATATCGAATCACGCCACGCCACTGCTGTCAATCCCCGGTCGGCTCCGGATCTGAATCGGGATAAAAATGTGCTGGCAGACGAGACTCGGATGCGAATCCCCGATGCCAATCCGATGTCGGCCGGTCGTTCTTGCATGCCGACGGAGCCGTGAACCCGCCGCAAAACACTCGAAAGCGATAAGCCCCCCCCCCCCCTCCTTCGCGGCTTGCCATCCGCCAGCTCGCGATGCGTACCGAAAGCTGTGTCTGCACATCATCGGCATTGTCAGGAAATGAAGAGTGCGAAAGCGATGCAACCCAAAAACCTTTCTTAGACAGAGCACACTTGACCGAGTCAAATGGAGGAGTCGGATAAAATCTGAAAACTTTGGGAGCTTATATTTTCGAAGATATGAAACAAAAAAGTCGAAAAGTTGGGTTTTCCGTGAAATTTCCTTTCGAAAACACCCCTTGAAATTTAATTGGTGGCGAAATAAACATCAAATTTTGAAACAGCCAACAAATTCATGTCTGACCTCTTCCATTAGCTCGATCCACTGTGCGACGATAGAACTAAAGCAGTGGTGTGGAGTGAATGATCGCGATTATCGATATTTCCCCATTTGAATCCGTGGTAAAGAATCGATTATTAGGGTGTTCGCTGCGAACACCCTGTTCATCGATCCTTTTCCATGGGTTTAAATGACAGAACAATCGATATATCGCAAAGCACGCCACGCCACCGAACTATGAAGGGCCGTTTGTAACTAAAGATACGAATGTTGGCAATATATTAGAAATGGTGTAATATATGAAATATTCAAGATATATATGAAATTTTGAAATATATATACAAAATTGTCGCAATATACAAGAAATATGTCAATATTTAGGAAATCGACTCCAAAATATGTGGCGAAAATCGTGCAATATATAAGAAATCAACTTCACAATATATATGGCGAAATTCGTGCGATATACAGGGTAATCCATAAGTCCTTTCCATCCCCTCCAAATCTTTACCTAATTGAGGCAAAGATTTGAAACCTGGGGAATGTTCTTAGGTTAAAGGGAGCTACTTTCTGGCCCCCTAAAATTTTCCGGGGAACCCTTAGGGGGGAGGGGGGATGAAAACCAATTATTTTTT